CACCTCCATCCCCTTCCCCATTTCCACCTCCATTCCTCATCCCCATCCACTCCCTTTCCCATATCTCCCCCATCCCACCCCACCTCTGTCCCCTGGACAGCAAGGAGGACAAGCAGAGGTCCTTAGCGCAGCAGCACCCAGTGGACACATGACGCCATCCCAGGCCCACCACCACCTGGGGTTGGGGGTCCACGCTTACCTCAGCGGGCTGCCCAGCCCCCACCACGATGAGCTTGCCATCCTCCAACCCCACCAAGATGTGACTCTTCTCCTTGGTGACGGACACGCTGTGGACGGGCACCCGCATGGGCACGGGGGGCATGGCTGCCCTGAGGCTGCGAGAAGATGAGTGGTGGGATGAAACCCCTAGAGCTCCTCCCAGGAAGCCCAAGGGGGTTGTTGGGAGTGGGACAAGGTGGGTGGTAGCCATCACCTCTGGAGGTCACGGATCTCCAGCCCGCACTGCATGGTCCCCAACACCACAAACTCCTCCGTCAGGCACATGGCCGTCACCTCCTCGTCCAGCGGGATGGAGGAGAGGTGCTTCCCGTTCACCGAGTAGAGGTGCAGCGCAAACCTGTCCTGAAAGACAGAGCAAAGAGGAGGGGGGGGGACGCACACGCTGACGGTGACGAGGGGACGATGACACAGGGACACCTGGCCATACCTTCAAGCAGGCTCGTTGACCCACTGCAGTCTGGGCGACCACCTGCCCCTCCGGCCCCACGGCGAGGTGGGAGAGGACGGCGGGTGGTGAGCTCTCGCCGGGCGGCCGCAGGGACCGGATGAAGAGACCCCGGCGGATGGTGTGGATGATGATGGTGCCATCCTACAGGAGGAAGGGGATGTGGAATGATGATGGTGGCACCTCCTGCCCCACTGCCCACACCACCACCCCAGCTCACCTTGGAGCCCGACACCGCCATGTCCAGCTCGGTGCTGATGGCCACGCACGTCACCTCGGCGTCGTGGCCGTACAGGACCTGGACAGGTTTAGGAGCCAAGCCGCTGGAAAACCCACCCTGGTGTTGGAGACATGGGGACCTCAGTGACCTGGCGGCAGCACCCACCACGAGCTCCCCTTGGCTGGACCACGAGGTAAGGGTCATATCCTACCTGTTGTAGGACCTGCCACACCATGCAGGTGGTGTCCCGGGACCCAGAAATGAGGTAGATGCCGCAGAGGTCAAGCGCCAGGCAGGTGACAACATCTGTGACACCCAGAGGGACACCGTGAGGTGCTGGTCCTGTCCCACCGCGCTCGGGGCCCTGACTCCGCACGATGGCACCAAGGTGTTTTTTGGGGTGTGGAGATGCTGCTAACCCTAAACCCAGCCCAGCTCTGCAGTGAAGCCTGGACCGTGTCCAGAAGATAGGGGACACTGGGAGATGTCCCCTGCCCGTTCCTATGTCTCCTACCTCCCACCATGGTCCTACAAACCCGTCAAGGCATCATCGGACCTTCACCACCAGACGAAGACATACCTATGTGCCGGGAGATGTGCCCAACAACCTTCCCTTTGGCCAGAGAGGTGACACGGAGGCTGTTGTCCCAATGTCCCCCGCTGAAGAGCAGCTTTCCATCAGGGGACACGGCCAGCGTGCGGGAGCAGAGGTCCACGCCAGGGGCAAAGGGGCCCTGCAGGAAACGCTGGGTCCTGGTGGGGAGTGACATAGGAAGGTGGCAGAGCCAAGGGTGGGCTGGTGGCACCTTTGGGGACCAGCCTTGGGGGACCACGCATGAGTCAACTCACTTTGTATTGGAGACGGTGGGGTCTTTGGTGAAGCTGAAGTAGTTGGAGATGTTCTTGTCGTAGGGTAACCAGTTATGGGTCCCCAACAAGCCGTTGGCACTCACGGTGACCTGGGCAGAGATGGAGATGGAGGTGACACACCTCTCACCACTGGGGTTTGGTCCCCGTCCCCCTGGGCCAGCAGCGCGCGCCCGTGACTCAGTTTCCCTAAAAGACGTCGGGTGATCCCTGAGTGATGAAGGAGTGCGCCTGGGTCTTGGGGACCACGGCTTGCACCAGGGCCACCCCATCGCTGATGCCCTGCGGGAAGACACCAACTGGTGGGCACCCTCCTGGCCAACCCCCCCTCTATTCCTGGGCGGGGCCCCCCCCCCCTCGTAGAATTGTCCTCACCTCCACAAAGAAGGACTTGAGCTGGTCCAGGTTCTCGAAGACGTTGGGCGAGCGGGTGTCGAGGCGGGCCAACCTCTGGGCAGCGCTCTCTGCTGACAACCGGGCGGGATGGGGTTCCTGGGAGGGGAGGAGGGAACCCATGAGAAGGAGGTGACCCCCCAAAAGGGGCTATTTTTGGAGGGTGGAGGGTATGAGTTACCTTGAGCAGCTGGCAGGGCGTCTGCCCAAAGTTGCTGATGATGCCTTCCAGAGCTTTCCTCTGCGTCTCGTCGGCAATGGCGTCCAGGTCCACGGCCCCTGGAGATGGAGATGGTCATGGGAGGCCACCTGGCAGATGTCCCCCACTCCATCTCTCTGCCCCACAGCTCACCCTCGTAGGTGCAGTAGTAGAAGACATTGAGGGCCTCCACGGCGGCTGGACCTCGTTGCTTGTACCCAAAAATAAGGTCGATCCACTCGTGGAGGTGGGCTGAGACATACACAGACTCCTGTCCAAGGACGGGACGGACGGGACATCAGGGTGGGCCAGAAATGTCCACCACCCCCGTGTAACCACCTCCCCAAGGGTGGGAGCAGAGGAGAGGTTGGGATGGGAACATCTCACCAGGGCTTTGCGGTGCTGGTAGATGAAGTCCTCACGGGAGCGCGCCCACCGGGGCAGCACCACGTCGCCCACCTTCTCGTTGGAGAGCTGCAGGCAGCCCAGGTCGAAGCCTGCAGGCAGAGCAGGCAGGGAGGGGGTGAAGGACACCAACCCTTGCCATTCTCCCATGGGTGCTGTTCCCCACGGCGGGGATGATGGGTGCCTCTTACCGTTCTGGTTCTCCAGGAACTCAGGGAAGTAGAAGAACTCAGGGATGAGCTCCTTGACGTCCACGGGGTTCTCCATGCGGGCTTGCCACGCTGCCGGCACCGAGTGGAACTGCCGATCCGAGCAGTCAAACCTGGTGGCATAGGACACCTGGTTGGAGCCCACTTGTCCCCTTTGATGTCCTCTCCCCGGGGTCTACCCACTGGGCGCCCACCTGCCGCTCTGTAGCTGGATGTGGAGGGTGGTGAAGGGCTCGGTGCGGATCAGGTAGTGCATGACGCCCGCCGCGTTGGAGTAGTGTGTGCCGTAGTGGAACTTGTCCACGGTGCCCGTGGGGTCCTCGAAGCTCTCGTACCTGGGGGTGAGATGGCGGTGGTGGTGGTGGTGGGGTGTCCACCAGGAGCCAGCCAGGAGCTCCCCGTATCCCCCGTCCCTCATTTTTGGGGATACTCACTTCTCCTTCACGTCCCGGGCGTGCCGTTCGTTGGCCACCCCGATGGGTTTGGCCAGGTCCCGAAAAACAGCTGGGTCGGTGAGGTCGAGGGTGTCGGAGACGTAATCCCGCAGGATCCAGGGGAACTGGGTGGGGGCGGGAGGTGGGTGAGGCTCAGGGTGGGGGGGGGGCTCGCTGGGGAGATGGTGGGGAGGACATGGGGCTCACCACGGGGTACTGGGAGAGGTCGTTGTAGGTGCGCCCCGCAATCGTGTTCAGCTGCATGAGGTACTCGAAGTTGGAGATCTCCCGCAGGACCCATTTCTGGAGCAAAGGGAGAGGGGCTGAGATGGGCTGGGGGAGGGGACAGGAGAGGGGGAAGACATCCCCATCCCATGGCTGTGCCTGTCTAACGGCCACCCCTGGTCCCACACCATCCCTGGTCCCACAGCCGTCCCTGGTCCCATGGCCATCCCCACCCCACAACCATCCCTGGTTCCATGGCCACTCCCATCCCACGAGCACCTCTGGTCCCACAGCCATCCCCATTCCGTGGCCATCTCTGGTCCTACAGCCATCCTTGGTCCCATGATCACCCCTCGTACCACAGCCATCCCTGGTCCCACAGCTGTTCCTGGTCCCATGACCGAGCATATCCCATGGCCATCCCCACCCCATGAGCATCTCTGGTCCCACAGCCATCCCCATTCCGTGGCCATCTCTGGTCCTACAGCCATCCTTCGTCCCATGACCGTCCCTGGTCCCACAGCCATCCCTGGTCCCACAGCTGTTCCTGGTCCCATGGCAATCACACCCCTCATCCACCCCTGGTCCTACAGCCATCCTTGGTCCCATGACCATCTCTGGTCCCACAGCCATCCCCATTCTGTTGTCATTCCTAGTCCTACAGCCATCCTTGGTCCCATGACCATCTCTGGTCCCATAGCCATTCCCCATCTCACAGCCATCCCTGGTCCCACAGCCATCCTTGGTCGTGCAGCCATCCTCATCCCATGGCCATCCCCAGTCCCACAGTCATTCCT